CCGCACATGCCCCGGCTGCTCCCAGGGGAAGGGGGGTGCCGGCGGGGAGCCCAGGAACCTGCCCGCGGTGCCGCGCTCGGGGCGGCAGAGTCAGCGCTGGGGAATGCCCCGGCGCGGTGCCGGGGTGCCGGGCTGCGCGGGGAGTGTCCTCGGCGCGGGGCAGACAATAACAGGGAGGGAATCTGGGTCAGGGCTTTGGCTGGGCTGCGCTGGGGCTGCGAGGAGGGTTGGCTGGTCCGGCAGCTCCAGGAGCAGCCGTTTCTTGGCGTCCTCCATCTCGGGAGAGATGGTGGGAAGGGGGTGGGCAGCGATCCTGGGCAACTGTGGTCCTGCACGGCTCCCCCGTGGGAAGCGGGGTGCTTGTCTCAAGGGCCTGCCTCGCCCCTCTCTGACCCAGCTTCGGTGACAGAGGGTGTAATAACGCCGGAGAGCTTTCCTGAGGATGGTTAATGAGTGTTTGCAAAGGGCTTTGCCCCCCCCGGGTGGGAACCACTGCTGAAGTCCATCCCAGGCGGTTGGTTAGCGCACCGGGTGATTTGCAGGCAGGGTGCTGTACGGCCCCACAGGGATATAGCAAACGATAAATATTCTGGAAAGGAAAAATACAGCTGTTTAAGCTGTAAGTTTGAGAATTTCCTACTCACCAGCGCAGGGACAACTGGCTTGGGGTTATTTCTGAGTAGCTGTGCAGGGGGCCCCAACTGCCCCCCAGGACCTGCCAGGGTGGGGATGCCCCGTCCGGCTCAGCGCAGGGAGGGAAGGGATTTGCTTGCGGGACCGGAGAGAGTTACAGGTTGCTGGACCTGGGATTTGAGCTCCTTCTGCCTGGCTGGAAATTCCTGCAGGTGTTTGATGTGTGCTCTTGTGCCGAGGCGATGGCGAGAACACCCAATCCTCCCCAATCCCCCCCCGGCCCGGTGGCAGGCTGTGCCACGCTCTGCCCTCCATCTCTGCCCCGATCCCCACCTCGGGCTGCATGTGGAGGGGGACACAGCCACCAAGCACTGCCAGGCCACCACCATGCTCAGACACTCCTGCATTTTTCTCATGACCTTTATGCATCCTCTGTGGCTTAAAGACCTACCGAACATAGGGTTTTTTCTCCTACCCCTTAGGTCAGGGTGTGTGTTTTACACTCAGGCTGTTTCCTCTTTCCAAAGTACCAGGCAGGCAGTGGGGGCTCTGTCTAGAGATGCTTTGATAGCTTTTTTTAAAAAAAAATTTTCCTACTTCTGCTTTCCGAGATGAACAGATGGAAATGTAGGTAATTCTGAGAAGCTGTAAACAAGCCAGGCTGAGCTATAAATGCGTCGGCTTTCAGGACATGTCCTGCCCAGCCTGCCTGCTCAGATTGGGCCCAAGAAGCTGGGATCTGGCCAAAAACTCTTGCTTTGGAGGAGAGTGATGCTGCAGGGTGTGCCTGGGCTTTGGGCAAGGATGGGGACAGGGTGGTGCTGGGGGACAAACGCACCCCTCCCTCGCAGTCTGGCCAGGGGGAGCTGAGCACGGGGCAGCTCAACCCATGTCCCCAGCTCTCAGCTGGGTGCTTTGGCCAGGCACAGGGCTGCTGAGAGCATCACCCAAATCTGGCCAGAGCACCCAGCCTCTGTGACTCAGGGCTTTTCATAGCAGAAGTGCCCATTGCCTGCTGTTTCACCATGGGGGGGATCTAATTTAGCAGCCCCCAGGCCTGGGGAGCACTCCTCTGCCCAGGATGGAGTTGGAACTGTCATAATTAGAATCCTCCACAGCCCTGGCGATGTCACTCGGTGGCTCGCATCCTCCTGCTGACTCGCCTGCATCCCCCGGCCAACTGTTCTGTGCCAGTGCTGGGACTCAAGCCCTGACCTCAGGGACCCCCCCCTGCCTTGGTGATGCTGTGGGTGCAAGGAGACACAGGTGGGACAGGAACATCACCCTGCACCGCATCGCAGGGTGGTCACAGTGGTGCTGGTAGCCCTCAGCGTGGTCTGGATCCCCATCCTGCAGAGCTCCAGTGGTGGCCAGCTCTATGTCTACATCCAGGCTGTCACCAGCTACCTAGCTCCTCCTGTCACCGCTGTCTTCGTCCTGGCTGTCTTCTGGCTCCGAGCTAATGAGCAGGTACATGACCTGGGTGGCCCTGGGGATGGCCTGGGGACATGTGGTGGTGCCAACACCTCCCTGCCCACCCTGCTCCTGGGGACCCAGCGAGGCTCGGGGGGTTGAGGAGAGGAAAGGGGGAGGCGATGCTGGAGGGGCTGGGGACAGGAACCAGGCCTGGCTGGTGTTTCCCCAGGATGCTGGGGGGTGGCTGGTATGAAGAGGAGGAGGAGGAGGAGGTGGCAGGTGCTGCCATGCATGACAACCAAGTGTGGCATGGGCCAATGTATGGATGGACCCCAATGCATGGCAGGGGACACCCTCTGCGGAGGCGGTGCAGATTTGGGCTGGGGGTGCTGTCCCAACACGCCAGGGCTGCTCAACAGGGAGCAGCTGCCTGGGGGGGTGTGTGTGTGTTTGTCCCCTCTGTAGGGTGACTGTCCCCCCACTCCGGCCACCCCCTCACGGACCTTTTCTTTGCAGGGAGCTTTCTGGGGCCTGATGGCGGGGCTGGCGCTGGGGCTGGCCAGGATGGGGCTGGAGCTGGCGTACCCCTCGCCCCGCTGTGGGGTCCCCGACCAGCGGCCCTGGCTGCTCACTGACATCCACTACCTGCACTTCGCCGTGCTGCTGGGCACTGCCACGGCCGCCGTGGTGGTAGGGGGCAGCCTGCTGACCCCCCCGCCACCTCCAGCCAGGGTGAGCATGGCACTCGGGACCCCTCACCCTGGTCCCCACGTCTGTACCCACACACCAGAGCTCCTCGGCTGGAGACACTGATGTCACCTGGGTGCACCCCAAGCTCCGCAAGGGGGGTGCCCATGGGGATAGTCTGTCCTGGGGGTGTTTTCTCATCAAATCTCACCCTGGTTTTTAGCTAAAGGATCTCACCTGGTGGACCCTCTCGCAGGAGCCCCCCCAGCCTTCCATGGATGGCACATCCGAGGGACCCCCCGACGGTGAGTGTGTCCTCAGGGGTGTCTGGAAGTGGTGGCATCTTCAGTGCCCCCCACTCCGTGCTTTTAACAGGCAGCAGGATGACCTGTGCCTCAGTTTCCCCGTGGCTGTGCCACCTGCCAGGAGGCGGCTGATCCCCACGGCTCTTTGTCCCCCACATTCACACTCTTTCTGTGCCAGGTCCCTCTTCAGCCACACCAGGCAGCCATCAGCCATCAAAGGCCGAGGGACCCCCAGCCACGGCCCTCAAGGACACCACAGAGCCCCCCTTCTGGGCCCGCGTCTGCGGCATCAACGCCGTTGTCCTGATGTGTGTCAATATTTTCTGCTATGCCTATTTTGCCTAGCAGCCTGCCAGTACCTGGGGAGGGGGGGAGAAATGGGGATTTGGGTGATATAGTTTTTATTTGTCACGTTTGGGATGTGGGATGTTTAAATTCACTGGTGAGATGAGCTGGGCGTTCTCAGTGCCGTGGACTCTGAGTGTGTCCCAGGGGGCTGTGAGGCATGTGTGTGTGTGGAATTTGTGGGGGCAGTGAGTCCCCTGGGAGGTGACTGGGGAGAGGTATTGGGGTGGGTGAATAGGGGCTGAAGGGGAAGCAAAACCACAGCAAAGCAGCAGGTGCCTGAGCGTGGCCATGGGACCACCATGGCGGTGGTGGCAAAGGACCAGCCGTGCTCAAGGGTGTCACCCAAACACATTTTACTAGCTCTAAATAAAAAAATAATATAAAAGCCACAATTTGCAGCTGTGAACAGCACCTGCAGGACTAAAATCCTGATGGACCAGCCTTCCCCCAGCGCCCTGAGCCCCAACACCCCCTCTGTGGAGTTACCGAGCCCGGCTACATCCTGGCTGCCTGCAGCACCCCTCGGAGCCGGGGCTTTGCTTCCAGGCTCTGGTTTGGGGTGCACATGCTCGTCCTCTCTGTTACTGTCACCCTGCGGGGTTGTGGCTCTGGAAAAGTTTTTCTGGCTCTGGTTGAAGGCTCTGTGCTCCCTCCCTTGGGAGCACTGCTGCTAGCCTGCAGCCAGAGGCCATGCCTGGGCTGGTGGAGGTGGAGGTTTCCTGGGTCGGGGGAGCTGTCGCTGATGTTTTGGGGTGCCGGAGCCAGGCAGCCCCTGGATGGGGATCACCACCAACCTGGCTTCTACCTCCAGCATGGCCCACGTTGGGACTGTGCGTGTCAGCAGCCCGGCATGGGGACAGGCACCGTCCGTGGGGACAGAGGGACGTGCAGTCCACGTGCAGGCACAAAGCAGCTCCGGGAGAGACTGGGGGGCAGCAGGGGCCGCGGTCCTCCCCGCAGTGCTGGTGGAAGCTCACTTGCGGATGGGATGGACGTAGTTGCGGGGGAAGAGGCCGACGCGCCCGTAGATCTTCCCCTGCCACCAGTTGGGATCGGGGCAGTCCAGGACCTCAATGATGTCCCCACGGAGGAAGGTCAGGTGGGAACCATCATGGGCCGAGAAGTCAAACTGGGCTTGCACAAATTTGGGTCTCCTCACCTGGAGGAAAGTCAAGGGCAGGGGTTGGTGGGGGGGAGAGGTGCCCCCCATCTGCCAGCTCCCCTGCACCGACCTGCACTGCCCGAGTTCCCAGTGTGAGGGGGATGCTGCTCCAATGCGTGGTGAGGGACAGTCTGGTGGTGGTGGGGCAGAGCATAGAGGGGGTGGAGGTACGTGGGGTACCTGCTTTGAGGATGAGAGATGGGGACCAGGGCCATTCTGTAATGGGAAGAGTCAGAGGGCTGAGGACAGCCCTGGGTGCATGGCAGAGCTGGGTTGCAGGGGAGCACCCCAGGGCACAGGGCTCCCTCTTCCTGCTGCCTGGGAGAGCTGAGATGGGTGCCCAGGGAATCCCTACCCCTCAGAGGCAGCTGGCACTTTTCTCCTTCCCAGGTCCATCTGGGTGCCAAAGCCTCCCCCAGCCCAGCTCCCAGGGCCCAGTTTCGCTTCCTCAAACCACCACCTCAGGGCTCAGCTTTGCTGAAGCGTGCCTGGAGCTGGCTGAGCCCCGTATCGAGCTGGCTGGGCTCTGCCACCCGCCCTGGGCATCGCCCCTGGCCCAAGGGACCGTGGCATGGGCCCAGGGCGAGCTGCCCTGCCCTGCCCTGCCAAACTGCGCCGGTAGCTTTTTCTCCACCCTGCCAGCTTCCCCGAAGAGCTGCCTGTCTCAGGCTGTTGCACCCTGCCTTGAGCTGAGCCTGAGTGCAGGGCCAAGCGCCAGCAGGGCACCTGGGATGTCCCTGTCCCCTTCTGCGGGGACACTGCAGCTGCGGGGGGAGCTGAGCTTTGAGGGAGGCTCATACAGGGGTTTGGGACCAGAGCCCCAGGATGCTTTGCCTGAGGGCAGCGGGCAGCCCGTGCCCTGGAACCAGACTCTGCTTTCCTCCATTTTGTCCCTCTCTGCTGTTTCTCAGCCATTGCCAGCATCCTGTGGCTGCTGGGGAGGGGCAGGAAAAGTTGAGGCAGGAGGAAATTCCCGTCCCCCGGCAGCTGAAGCCCCATGACGCCTCCCTGCAAGCACAGTCAGGGGCAAAGCAAGATCGTGGCAGCGCTGCTGACCCATGGGCCGGTCCCGTGCCTCAGTTTCCCCATGAGCCAGCGTGGTGGTGGCAGCTCTAGTACCAGGGGAGCGATGAGGAATCCCAAAGGTGGATCAGACATGGGCCGTGCCATCACCCCACACCCCAGCCCTGCATGTCCCCATGGCCCCATCCCCTGATGGTACCTCCTGGGTCTGATCCTCATCCCAGAGGAAGATCTGGTGCTTTTTGGCGATGGTGGTTGTCCTGTAGAAATCCACCAGCTCGTTGAGGGAGTTGAACTTTTCCTCCCAGAGGAAATATTTGCCATTTCTCTCCCTGAGCACCTTGAAGTGCTGGACGTGCTGCCCGTAGCTGCAGAAGGAGGACGGACGTTACCCCAGCCCCAGGATGCTGGCAGCACCCAGACCCCCTTCCAGCATTGTGGGCAAAGCCCAGGGGATGCTGGGTGGGCCCCACGGGTCCCACTGCACCCATCCTGCCATGCCAGGGTGACGGTGGCACTTGGGGTCACTCCTGGCCCTGCTGCTGAGGCAGCAGGAGAGGGGTCCCCAGCACGATAACAACCCAGACCCGCAGCTGAGACCTGCCACAGCTCACCCCACATGCAGCTGAAGCTCAGCACAGTGGGATGCCCGTGGGCTCAGAGCTGGCAGCCTGCTAGCCATGTGTAGGACAGGCAGCCTTGTCCAGGGAGCAAACAGGGGCCACATGTGAAGGAAGTGTGATGAGAGCTGCAGGTCTCAGCTGGGGAGGAGACTGCAAAGCCGGGGCTCAGGCTCCCAAATCCCCTGTGCCCCTGGAGACCCCTAAGCCGCAGGAGGAGGGGGCAGCCTGAGATTTCCTTTGCCAGCCCCCCATGTTGGCACCCCCTCGGTGTTGGGGTTGGTGCTCTGCAGGGCTGGCACGGGGCCGCTGCAGGGACCCGCCGTTGCCCCAGGCAGGGGCAGGGAACCTGGCCACGCTGGTGACGCATGGCAGAACACAGTTCCCTTTCATTATAGGCAAGAACCTCCTTAAAACGCTTAATTAGAGATTAGCAGCGTGAGAAAGTGCCTGTCTGGCCTGAGGCTGGCTCCTGCTACCCTAGCCCTGGGCATGGAAGGGGCAGCAATGGGGTGAGAGGCTCCAGGGCAAGCTCTGCCTGTTGGCACGTTGCCTTCAGTGCCAAAATCATCACCCGTGTGGCATTGGGGTGCTGCGTCCCTTCATCCCCGGGGATGCTGGGGGCAGCTCGTTCCTCCAGGCCACATCCCCTGGGCTGTGCTTGCAGCTTGGCCCAGCCCCATCGTTACCCACATGGCTGTATTTCGGGGCACCCCAGTGAGGGACCCCGGGTGAGGCAGCGATGCAGCCCAGCTGTGCAGGCAGGGAGCAGGAAGCAGCAGGGATGGAGGTGGAGAGCGAGGCTGAAGGAGAGAAAGACCCTGCGCCTGGATGTGTTGGGGACATGGCTCCACCCCTTCGAGGTGTCCTGGGCCGGGCAGGGTGCTCACCCCTTCCCCAGCACCGTGGCAGGGAGCAGGCACGAGGGTGGCCTGATGGTCCCCGAAAACAGGGGCTGTGGTGGACCCCTGCCCATCCCACCGCGTGTCCATCCGTGTCCCACGGCCACTTACTTGACAGAGATGGAGAATTCCCCCGGGGCGCTCTCGCTGTCGCGGATCAGGAAGGCTCCCAGGTGCTTGCGTTTGAGGAGCTGCTCCTCTGCCAGATGCCGGGAGATCCTGCCCGCGTACCACCTGCGAGGGGCACTGGGCTCAGCCGTGTGGGCACCCGGGGACACCCCAGGGCCGCATCCCCACCCCAGAGGATGGAGGCACCTTAAGAGCCCCGGTGCTGTCAGGAGGAGGGTCCACACTGGGCTCCCCACAGCATTGCGACCCCCTTGCAGAGGTTTCTCCCTTCCCCTTCCCCCCCACAGTTTGCCACAGCGCATTCTCGGGGGGGGTGGGGGGGGGCAGCGCAGGGTGCTGCGGGTGCAGATGTGCCCCCATGTGCTGCCTCGTCCACAGGGTGAGCGCAGCATCGCCAACAGCCGCGACCACATCCTGTCACCCGGCTCGCCACAATCACATGCCTCGTCCTCCACTTTGCTGCCTGTCCTTCCCACTCCCCCCATGTCCCACGGGCCCCTGTGAGAACAGCCCTGCCAGGTATTACAGGAGGTTTGCAGAGCAGAAAACTCTCCATGACGGGATAAAACCCTTCCTGCCTGTGTTGCTGGCAGCTGCCAAAATGTGGAAGGGCAGAGTCCCCATCTCCTGTCCCTGCCAAAGCTGCGCCCGTGTATTTGGGAGCCGCAGGCCAGGGACACCTTCTACTACCTCTTAAAATTGCCCCATGAACGATCAGCCAGGGACTTTAGCACAGAGCATCTCCCAGCGTGAACCCTCCAGGTGCTGCATGGAAGAGGCTGCATCTCGCCCGTCCCGGCTCGTTAACCGAAGCCAGAGAGGCAACGGGATCTGCCCCGGGCTGCCCCGAGCTTGCGTGTTCCTGCTCCCCAGCCACAGCCCCAAGCAGGTTTTGCTATGGCATTTAAATGTGATTTACCAGGGGATAATGATACATAAAACACAGGTTAAAACAGGGATGGATTACACTGGGCTTTAATAACACAGTAATAGGATTGTGTCTAATGCAGTTGTAATCCCATAACGCTTTGTTGTTCCCCAATTATCATTTATTTAGCGGGCAGCCTGGTGTGAAGGTTGAATTTCTGCATGTTGGGGGTAGACGGGCATGCTGCTGCCTCCTGTCCCCTCTGGCTGTGGTGGCAATGGCAGAGTGACCTGGCAGGCAGACCCCATTGCTCTGTGACTCAGTTTCCCCACATGTGGGATTCGTGGCACACCTTTGGGCATCGGGATGCACCTCTGAGATCGCTGCCTGGGTGGTGCGAGAGGATGTCCTGGCCCTGCTGGGTGCTACCAGCGCTGGGCTTTGAGCCCCATTTCTTTGCGTGATGAGATGATACTTACGGGTGTGGCTTGACCTTGATGTAGTTTTTGGGGACGAAGCCTTCACAGCCGTACAGCTCAGCCTTGTACCAGTTCTGGTCATCTTCCATATTGAGGATCTAAGGTGGGAGGGAGCAGCAGGGAGTGTCAGCTCAACTGCTGTTCTCCTGGGAGAGGGGCTAAGTGGGACCGCCACTGCTGCCCCAGACCCCACATCCCCCACCGAAATCTGGGAAAAAGGGGGCTCTGACAAAAGCGACATGGTTTGGGGGTGTTTGGGGGCACCTGTACAGAGCTGACTGCCACCCCCAGGGCTCCTCGGCTTGTGGTTGGTCTGGATCACCACGAGTGCTGGCAGCTGGGGGGGTGCTTGGCATTACCCCAAATCCCCGGCCAGGGAAAAGGGTAAACACTGTCCCTGGAGGAACTGGGGTGACAGTCAGACCCTCGTGTCCCTTCGGGGCAGTGGTAGCTGGGTTCTCTGTGGGAGGAAGCACCCCAGCGTGAACAGGGGTGCTGACACCCGCTTCCGCGCGACACCATTTTCCAGCCTCCCACGCAGGGGCCCGGGGGCCGGCACAGCTGTGAAAACAGGATCCGAAACCCCGAGGCACGACACTGGGGCTGTGGGGAAAACACATCGGGGAGACAGGGACGGGCACAGTGGGTTTAGGGTGCTGGGGTACAGCCGGGACATGGCCTCACCCTCCCCGGGGCTGGCTGCACCCTGGGGGGCTGCTGGGTGCCGGGGGTCCAGGAGGAGTTGCCGGCATCGTGGCATCAGCCCCTCAGAGAAGGGTGAGTGGCCAGGCAGCGTGGCAGGGTGGGGGTGCCCTCCCCCCCACCGCAGGGCTGCAGTCCCTTGGGAATGTTTTAAGTCCGTCTGAAACTTTCTGGGATGCCAGGGTGGCATCTGAGAGCCCGTCCCAATGCCAGAGCCTGGGTGGGGCTTTGGGAACATGCTCCCTGCTGCTGCGTCCCTGCACACACCCT